CCTTTCACTATTTATAGTACTACCATCTTTGCACCAATCTTTCCCCCCTGAAAGTGGGACGAGGCGGTCTCTCACCAGGGTGCAGAAGACATCTAATTGAGCCCACAGGGAGAAAATGCAGAGAACAAACACCGGCACCGCCTTGTTTTTCAGCACTTTGCTTGGATTTCATACAGGTGGCAATAACAGTAGGTTAATGTATATAAGTGTAGTCCAAAGGTTAAATGATACTCCTTCAGCCTACCACCCACCTCAGTCCCCTCACCACAAATGTGCGCTGTTTGTACTAATGTAGGTTGTTGAGCTTATCTGTACCATGCTGTATGAGACTATTTTCCAATTCTAATTTAGAGTTAATTCTTGGAAACAGCACTTGGCAAAACTATCTCACCACAAGGTCCTTTAGGAGATGTTTGGAGCTATAAATTGTAGGTGCTGTGAACTACATCAGATTAAATTAATTTGTAGTGCCATCACTACATTTGTATAAATATTCTGCCATCTTGGTTGAGGCCCACTGGCATCCATGTCTGACGTGACAGATGTCACTCATATGTGTTTGTATGTCTCCATTAGTGTTTCTGAGCTGGGCTGCTGTATGTGAAAGCCAAGCCTCAGCAGAGGAAAATCCACATAATGCTGAATCACTCTAATCATCTGATAGATCCATGCTCTGGTTGGGGGATTACTGTGGTACCCTCTCAGCTCTGGGTGCTGGCAGCAGAGTGGGAGTTGGCCCCCTGTCCTTGGATGACTAGCAGGCCCCACCCACACTCCAACCAGGAAGAGTTTTGGCCAGCTGGTATCTGGTTGGCTTCTGAGCCACATGGGGTCTTTGTCACCCGATGATGACCTGGTATGGTGAGATCAAGTGTCTCCTCTCCAGACTGGGATGGTGCGCACATTATGGTGCTTTTGTCCACCTAACTTTTTTTTAAGGTTCATCTGTTGTAAATTCGTTGGTAGCTTTTAGAAGGTAAAGTATTACTGAGGTGAAGGTGTTTGTGATATATGGCTCCAACTTTATTGTGAGTTATAGTGTCTTTGTGGCCCTGTTACCTGCTGTGCTATCTATGTTTATACAAAGATAAGGCAACCAAGGACTGTCATTGGCAGATAGAAGACCATAGTAAAAAAGATTACCACCATAAAACTACATTTATGTGCAGGATGAACATTTTTAAATTAAGAAACCTCAAGAGGTATCTCCATATAGTGTCTCTATGTAAAGGTGCCGATATTATTAGACTTCCTTTACAACATAAAGAAGTAATACTTTGTCTTTGACTCTTATCTTATTTTACAAGGGTTTGTTTTGACCTTCACAGTCCCATATTCTATCGTGTTTTATCTTCCCAGATCAGATTAGACTTGAGATGAGCCACGCTAAAGACCACTGGCTAATGTGGGTAATGCTGTGGCCTTGGTCTGTGTGGGTACTTATACAGGTTAATCCGAGTGTATAGTCTTGTTTTTGAGCGTCCAGGGTAACAGATAAAGGCCCTAAGAGTTGTTGGTATCTTTGCTTTGGATTTGAACCAACATGGACATTTTATTTTACTATGTGCTGTGCTTGTAAAGTGCTGTGAAGTGAGAATACTTTCAAAAATAGGCAAAAATTAAATTAAATTAGTATTTGGTGTTACCAACCTCTGCCTAAAACTTGCTAGGAACCTCCACCCTGCTTCACCGTTGCCTGCAGACAATCATTCTTGTACCGCTCACTAGAATCAAACTGCCTTCTGCTAAAGCCAAATATTTAAAATTTTGTCTTAGAAGAAGGTATGCTGGACTGTTGTTTTCTGCACCCCAGTTCCGGTGTTTTTTTGTATAGTTGAGTCGCTTGGCTTTGTTTCAATGTCAGAAGTCTGAATTTTTGGTCTTCCATGAAGGTCACTTCTGACCAGACTTCTCCGGACTATAGATGGGTGTACCAGGGTTCCACTGTTTTCTGCTGATGGCACTGCTGGACATCTTCCGATTACGAAGGGAAGTAAGCATAATGTGTCTTTCATCTGCTGCAGTAATTTTCTTTGGCCAACTACTAACCACTAACCGTGGGCTGTAAGTTACCTTCAACCTACGTCTCGCATAGCCAAACTCCACAGCACTAAACTTGACAAGATCTTGGGGCATCTCTACTTCTTCATCCTCTCATGTTGGACTGAGGGAAGACTGGACTCTACAGTGACTCACTATTGTCTGCGTTGTTACAACACAGGAAGGGCCGGGGCTAGCTGGCCAACTTAGCATGCTAACTTCAGTAGATATCCCTGTAATAAAATTTATAGAGATCTTTGACAACGTGAGAACTGTTACTTATTCACATTCTGTTGATTATGTTAGGTAATTTCTTGAATGCTTTAAACTAAATTTCTGACCAGATCTCACATGTTCATCCTTTAAAGCCACTGAGTTGCTGAACAAAGATGTGAGTGAGTGACTGATGAAATGATCACAAAACAGGTCAGCTAGATATTGGTTACCACTTTTTCTTTATTTTGTTGTTGCATGCCTTAGTGACTTCGATAGCGAAGCACCTTCGATCGAAGGTGTCACGACAAACCTTGTTTATCCAGATGTTTTCAGACACAGACACCTGTTCTGCCACAGAGGAATGTCACAGGAGAACGACACTACAGTATAACCTCACATATCTGTGTGTGTGTGTGTGTGTGTGTGTGTGTGTGTGTGTGTGTGTGTGTGTGTGTGTGTGTGTGTGTGTGTGTGTGTGTGTGTGTGTGTGTGTGTGTGTGTGTGTGTGTGTGTGTGTGTGTGTGTGTGTGTGGCTTTGTTTTGTACTGATAAGCCCAGTCTCCTGTTGACATGACTGTTTTCCTTTCCAATATGCTGACTTTGACGGGGTTGGCTGTTTGCGTTGCTAAATACTGTGCTTGTACTGTCGTCATTGTTCATTGACATTGTTCATCATTGCTGTCATTATAACCTGACAACAGGTGACGGCTTTGTTTTGAGGTGTGTGTGTGTGTGTGTGTGTGAGAGGGCTAATCCTCAAGTCACTGTTTTTGTTGTGCAGCTGCAGAATTTACAGTGAACTAATGTTTTTTTTCCTCAGTTAATAGTGGGGCCTGAGGATAGCGAAGTCTGTCCAGATTAAGATATTTCAACAGCTACTGGCTAGATTGCCATTAAAATCAAAGTTTCCTCTTGACTAACACTTTAGTACAGGACAGGATATTTTGAAAATGAATAGCCAGACTTGACTTGTAACTTAACCATTTTGATGACATCTGAAACTGTAGATAGTTTCTGGAGCAAGGGGAAGCAGTGCCGTTATAATGCTCTTAATAAGAAATGCTGCCAGGACTTAACCAATTACAACTATGAGAACATGTGAAATGAAATGTGTCCAGTGAGGAAACTTTTTGTCCATCCATTACTGTGGATACATAATGCAAGGGCCAGTTAGGGATCGTGTGCTGCTGACTGTCCTCACATGTCCTGTTGCTTAACCTACTACAGCGGTCACATAAGAGTTTACTGCGTTAAAGAGCACATCCGGTGACCTCATACGAAACACTCATGCACAAACACAAGGTGCTCCTCCAACTGAGCCATGACTGTTGGTAAAGGTCATTCTCTCACCCAGTCACCCACAGTGTATCCCATGACCTGTGTTAACTAACTGAGGGCACAACCTGCTTTGGACTGCTCTCTACATGTCCATGCTCTTTCACTGTCTCCCCCTTCACTGCCACCCATCCACTCTTGATTTATTAACATGGCAGCTTAGGGTGGTAACAGGTCTGAAACTAAAGTACAATCTGTTTGAACACAGTTTGTCCTCCTGCTACACTTTGAGTGTGCTCTGAGTGTGAATGAAGCTGGTGAATGTGGTGGTGCGAGTGGGTGCCAGCTCCTGTGGAGAGCTGGCCGAACAGCGCGTTTTGGTGTAAACTCTTTTCTGTCATCTGGATTTTACACCTGCAATACAGCTGCTAAGAGTGTTTTAAACAGCAGCTTACACCTCTGTCACAACATATCAGATACTGTATGTAATCCTTTCCTCTGACTCTCCAGTGTAATGTAAGCAGGCAGCATTGGTTGAGATGCCTGTCTTTAGTGTGTTTTCAGACTGGTCTTCAGGGATGTGGCTGCCATCTTGTGGAGATTTTCTATTAGTTACTGCACAAACTTTCACATATGTGCCGCTCAGCAGGAATTAGTCATGGTAGAGGTGTCTTCTCTTCCACATCGTCATTCAGTAAGATAATGCCAAGGAAAGAGGGTGAAAATAGGGAAATTGATAAAATCTTTGACCACTACTTTAACTCAATTTAAAGCAATCTCCATTATTTAAAGATATTGAATAATTAGGGATAAGGACTGAACAATTAATTGAAAACTTATCAAAATCGCAATAACGCATACTGCAATGTTTCAATCACAGGACAATGTTTGTTAAAAGCAAAATGTGTGTCAGAATACCATTTTAAATTAAATATTGTCATGCGGCAGAGATGTCCTGGCCTGCAAATCATATTCTACAAACTTAAGGAAACACCTTTTGTTTGGTACAAATCCTTGCAAAAATCACACCGTAATGTTTTTCAATAAAATAAAGATAATTATGTAAAAACGATAATTCCCTCCAATATCGCAAATCATATTGCAATTGCTATTGTGTCAGCTATTACTATCGTTTGTCACAAAATCCACTTTTCAAACTAGCAAATACTATGGTCTTTTAAAAACAATACTTAAAGATGGACACGTCTTACACATAGACTGTATATAAAAAGGTCTTACATCATAAACTGCTGGAAACTATTCGTTCATATTTGTCAGCTTCGAAACACCACAGCGGCGCATATGGAGGTACAGGTGATAGTTTAACCCTCCAGTCTCTTCAGGATCTAAGATCTATCATTATTAGGGGTTAACTATGCTGCACATTACGCATTGAAATGATTGCCTTTGTATACTCTACCACATCCATTGTAACCTAACTTCTCCTCTTTCTCACTGTCCCCCTGTAGGTGATCACCTGTTTCGGCCTCTCGGTGCTGTCCTGCCGCTATGTGGGGTTTGCCGTGGTGGCCCTGTTGGTGGAGATAAACTCTGTGTTCCTCCACCTCAGGCAAACCCTGCGTATGGCCAACATTGCCACAGGCACCCTGTACCGGGTCAACAGCATGATCAACCTGGGCACATACGTGGTGTTCCGCATCAACACGCTGGCCTGGATGACCCGCTGGCTGGTGCTCAACAGGGACAAGGTGCCCCTCCTGGCCTACACGCTGGGCAGTGTGGGTATGGCCATCATGACGGCCATGAACATTGTTCTGTTTTATCGGCTCCTCAGGAGCGATTTTTTGAAGAGCAGCACCCGGGAGACCAAGAAAGAGAAGGAGATGGATTAGAGATGGATTAGATTCATAAACATGCCCGTTACTGTTAACACAGAGATTTGGTACCGTTTTGCTTGTGTGTGTGTGTGTGTGATATTCTCAAAGAGAGATCCTTCTATCTCTCATACATTCATACAAACTGTAATCATTTGACTTCACTTCAAACACAGATCACACACAGCCATTATGTTAAAAAGCTACATTTAGTTGTAGTTTTAATTTTAGGCTTCTGTATCTGTGTGTGTGGTACAGTCATCTTCAAGTGCCACTAGTGGCTCACTAATGGTACAAGGAGGATTCTTCATATCAACAAGGTAAATGCCTTACTGTCCCACAGGGACAGGGCACTTTCTTAAGATAAACCCACCAACTGTCATATTATATCAATAGAAAACATGGAACTAGTATAAAATATCTTTAGTTATATCATAAGAATAGCCTTATTGTTTATATATAAAATATTTTTTTGTTTTAACTTACTGTCGTGGGTTATTCAAAATAACCTTTTTTACAACTGAGTAAAATCTCTTTTTTCACCAAATCTCCTCAACTAAAAAACACCTGCTACCTCAGAAAGCTTGGTATCAATTAGTTGCCTCTTTCTAACACAAGCTTTGCTCTCAAAGTTTGGCAGGTTCTTTGATATTAAAGAAGAAAAACATAAACACAAAATATGTATATTTAAAGATTACATTTGTTTGTAGAGTAAGGCTGTCCTGGTAATCCCAACCCTGACTTGGGGAGAGAATAGGTTGAAGAATAACTACTAAATACTTTCAAGTGGCATTTAAATAAAACGGATCAGATTTTACTTTGATGACCTAAAACAGCAAATTTGGTTGTTGGTTGTCGACATTTTATGCCTTGCTTAACTTTATTATAACATTTAGGAACAATTATTCATACAAGCGTGAACAAATTGGCAGGTTTAACATTCCTTATAATTATAATAAAACCAAATTGAGTAGATTCTGACTTCAGTGGCTCATGGATAAATAACAATAGCAAAAGAGAGAGAGGTTGCTGTATTTGTGAGTTCACTTGAAGTCTGTAAAATGACACAAAAACAAGATAAGCTTAACAACAACAGATATTGCTGCAGTGCAAACTGAAATGATTGTAAGTGTTCCTTTAGTGGTCTGTGATGGTGTATAGTCTGCAGTAGGAGCTTTCAGACAGGCAGAAGTTGTTGTTCTTCATTTGGCCAATGGAGGGCAGCACACTTCTCAGCATCACCCCAGCGATATCAATGCACACCACAACACCAGAGGTGTCTTTACTTCGTAACCTCTTTCTGTATCTGTGCTTCCTGCCTTAAATTCGAAGTTGTCAATAAGCTTAAATAGATGCAGAGAAATTCCAGAGGTTGGTGTTGGAACAAGCGTGTCTTAGATGTGTGAATACAGCAAACTGATTACACATGGCTGCCTACTCTTACTGCTCACATCACAGCATTATGGTCTTTAAATGGCATGGAAACATGTTATGCCATTTATGTTTTGTGTTTTTGCTTTTTTTATGTATATTAATTGTTTGGGAGATTAAATTGTGTATATTTGTAATTTATTTGTAATAAAAAAGAAGTGTGGTGGTTGTGGTGTAAAGATAAGGTGAACACAGCGTTCAGTGAATCTCCCCCTTGTGAAAAACACTTAATACTTAAACCAGGCTGTCCAGCGATATTACGAACAAAGCCACGTATTCAGTGAACAGACTAGAACATACTGTACTTGGTTGGAGGTGGAAGGAAACATGCAATGTAGCAGAGTAAGTGACAAACACCGTCCACAAATGTAACTCTTTGAGACATCACTGCGCTGAAGAAACAGCACTGTTTGGGAGAAAGACAGGAAGGTTTAGATTATTGTTGTTGTGGCTGATTGTCGTTTGAGTAACTCCCTTTTTTGAATTGTTATTGTGAATTTGAATTTGAGTAGGACAGCTTAACTTTGTGGTTGTAGTGAAGACAGCTGGTGACAATTGAAGTTCTTTCTAACAAGCAAGCTTCTATTTGTGAATATGATGTACAGTATAAGGCGGTAATGTTATTGGAATTGTTCATGTATGATGCCAGATTTGTTCATCATGTTGCTGTGTGCTTTTAGGAATTGTGATAAAACATATTAGCCAGGTGAGATGTCCCTTCTTATCAGTGTCGTAATGAGTCTGAGGGACCTTTGGCAAAAAAACACTGTATCATGCAGAGAGCAGGCATGCTAGGGTTTTCTAGTTGTAGGTAGTGGACACAAGGAAAACTATTTCCGGATGTAACTGCAGAGAAAGTGGCAGCAGTTATGATCTCGTATTGCCTCACTGCCTCGTATTCCTCATCGTACACAATAAATGTGGTGGTCCACAGCATTAGCTCCATTATTAAAGAAAATACCAGTCTTCTTAACCGCAACCAGCAAATACTACCAGTTTTAATTCCCTGTTTACTCACATTTATTTTTCTGGTGAATTATGGAGCTCTGTTAATTATTAAAAAATGGAATTCATAACAGTGAAGACTGTTGACACTGTGCAGCTTGTCAAGGACTTCACAAAGAGGAAAATACATGGAATACTGAAGCCACGGAGACCAACTGAGGTTGTGAGAAAACATCTGCTTTCCCGGAGCATCAAACTGTCGCGTTTCACAGAATTCTGTCTTGTAAGCATAAATATGACCGTTTTAATTTTTTCATATTTTGTCAGAGATTGTTTTATAATTAAAATTCCAAGGCATATGTTTAACATTATTTGTTTTAATGTGAAAATAAAGATCAATGGAAAAAAATGGTGTGTGTCTGACAGCTGAAGTTACTGCAGATTTTGGGATTAATATGTAAAATAAGCAGCCCATAGAGTACTTGGTTCACTGAGGTCAAGGTCTAGATACAATAATACGTATTAATACTACATGGCGGTGGTGAGAAGAAGCAATTCTGCAATGTAATGAATTCATACAATCAAAATGTGATTGAAGTAAGAGCCAACGTGTTAGGCCATATTAAAAATGATAAAGTACTCATGCAGGTTTAATGACCCCTGTCAGAGTTACAACATATGCCTCAATGTAGTAGAGTAGAAGTGTAAAGTAGCATAAGTAGGAAAGTACAGTACTTGAGGAAATATACTTTATGTACAACAGTTGCTACCTATGTCACCAGCTTTGAGCATTTGCTGCCTAGTGTGACACTTAGATTGTTCTATTTGTATCTCATAACACAGTTAGCTACATCTACTTCAATACCACAGAAAGCATAGTATTTATCTCTTTGGGCAAACCTGTGCAAGCTTCAGCACTGTTAACTCACATTTTTATTAAATCATCCAAAACAATGGGGAAAGATTTGTAGTTGGATGAACTATCAAAGGTTGTACCAAGGGCGTCACTTTGTGTTGAAAAGTGGTGGGGACATAGGGGCTTAGATTAGGGGTGTGAAGAGACACTTAGCTCGCGAGACATCATGATATGTGATATTAGGTTCACGAGAATGAGACGAAAAGATCCTTAAAGAGTGTTTTAAAGATATCCTTAATGCCAAGATATATGAGTGTCTGGGGAGGACCTCCCCCAGGAAATTTTGATCATTAAACACTTAATTTCCTGCATTCTGGTGAAAGTTTCTGCACCAATTTATGGTGGAAATGTTTTTATTTATGTTAATGGAAACACAAAATTCAGGTAGCACACAATATTTTAGTAAATATAAATATAATAGAATAATGCAGTGCTGCTCTCAGACATTCTGTGTTTCTGTTTCTCCTGTAGATCAACTTTTCTCATGTAATATCATCCCTGTTAAGGCAACACATATGTCGGCATGATTTAGTCTTCCCCCTTCTTTTGTCATGTTCACAGGGAGAGAATGGAAAACTTGGCCAAAAAAAATTTGACACTTTTTAACAACAAAAAGTTGTTAAAGTTACTCTTTGGTTGCGCACGTTTTTGGGTAATTTCAATTTTATAATCAGCTTGTTTTGTTTTTTAGCTTAAGTTACCTTTTTTGCACATTTGTTTCTTCTATATTTTAATTGCACTGCATGTTTTCTTAACATGCAAATAAAACTTTCTAAAGGCATAAATAAACCTTTCATTTGTTAGTTAACTGCAAGCAATATTTCAGAACAATTCTTTAAACAAATTATGCTTTAAAAAATGGTGGGGAACAAATCAGCCATTTCAAAAAGTAGTGGGAACATGTCCCCAGCGACCCCAGTGTAAATGACACCTATGCTTGTACTTTTGTATTATTTGGTATTGAACTTTTACCAGAAATTTGAATTCAGTGTGAATTCTAGTTTGCTTTTTAGCCCCTTTACTTTTATAATTCTTTTAATTTCATGGGTGTTTATGGTAGCTAATTTAAAAGTACTAATGCTATATAGTAGTAGTTTGCACTTTAATCACAAGTATACAGCAATACATCATGTTATGTCATCATATGGAGACCTGCCCCATCAACATCCGGGATCAATCACTTGGCAGGTGGTCCATGTTCTGAGCTGTCAGCACAAGCATCCGGCAAGATGAGAGGAAGTGGAGCTCAAACTTAGAGATGATGGACTCCAAATTTCAGACTGTTTATTGTGATGATGAAACTTTCATATTGTCATCTAGTGGCTGCTGTTTACATTCATCCCAGATGCAAATTCAAAAAATGTGTAATGTTCGGGATTTGTACGTGTTGGTATATGTATATAAATAACTGTATATATTGTTTTATTTTATTTTATATGTTACCATATTTTAATATAGGCCTACACTTAATTAAATTTTGTGTGAAATTTCGTTCCGTTATGCAGCCTTGTGCTGTATGATGACTAATAAACAACCTTGTACCTTGTTTATTGAGATCATGTTTGTGGCTTCTCTGTCCTGTGAGAGCATCATGAGCTCAGACAAACAGCGCTGTTTTCAGCTTTGTGAAGATGCACACAGGTTGTAGGCTATAACTATGGAAGGGTCCATATATAACGAAAACAAGTTTGTTGTCCCTTCAAGCTACACACAAAAAACTTAAAGGGGCTATATGTAAGTTTTTGATTTTAATAAATCAAATTGTCAATGCCTTATTGTTAATGGGCTCAAAACTCAAAGTGACCATTAGTAAAGCTGGAAGCCAGAGGAAGTCACGTTAGCTCGCCGGCTAACACCGAGCAGTTGCTAATTGTATCCGATCGCTTTCCACATTAATTCACCAACCAAGGCGACCCATATTACCATCCTGTGTACCACAGTTATTATGTCAAAGTGTCAAAGCCCGCAAGAAATGATGTAAGGGTAAAAAGCAAATGTGGAACGATTTGTTTACTATCCTATAGTGATGCAGCCTGAGCAGCCAGCTAATGCTACATTAGCTCAAACCTGCCGCTGTTTGCTTTGTAACGTTCAATTTAGATTTATTGCCTTTTACCAATACTCAGGTACACAGCTTCTCCACCTCTCAGTCGCTGTAACTAACATGACCCACATAATATACAACCCAGAGGAACAGCCATCCACTGACACTACAGTAAATTTACTTACTGTGGTCTTATTATTATAAAGTGTGACACAATCTCGTTATAATATTCAGCCCATCTCACTACCGGTTTCCTTATCATCCAATACATTTAGCTGTGCTGACATTACTGAGCCTCCGGTGAAAGATACACAGATAATAAAGATAGTTACTGAAAGCAGCTGTCACTCCACCTTTTTTCCGGGAGGATTGTGCCGATATGCGGCTCGCTGCGCTGAATAAAGTAACGTTACGGAGCCGGTGTTGAGCTGCCTCTGAGACGGGAACGTTGAAGTAACAGAACCTGAACACGTCTGAGTGAAAAGCCACAGCCTGCATGCTGGTGTTTCTGCGTTTATTGCAGGATTTCTGTATGAAAGTGGTTGTGTTTCAGATTATGCTCGCTCATGAGTTCAAGCGAGCACGCGTAGGAGCACATGTCTGGTTGCAATCTTAAAACTGCACCGCTAGTGGCCGCTGGAAACTCCATAATGCCCCTTTAAAGGTTCAGTGTGTAATATTTAGGAAATATATTTAGAATGCTAATGAAATATTTAGAAATGCTATATAATATACATAACTATGTTTTCAGTGGTGTATAAAGACCTTATAACATAATGAACCGTTATTTTTTTATTACGTTAGAATGAGACATTTCTATTTACATAAACCGCAGGTCTACTTACATGAAAGTAGCCATGTTGTGGCGCCATGTTTCTAGTAGCCAAAGCGAACAAACTGCTCTACAGAGCGCGTTTCGTCACTACGTTGAATACATATATGAAGAGGAAGGAACACAAAGAAGAAGAAGTAGTAGCAGTCCTCTGGTTTATTAGAAGTAAGAAGAGAAAAAGAAGTGATATCTGGACAAACAGAGGACCACAGGTATTATTTAGCACAAGAGCCGCCAGAGCCTGTTGGCCACTGAAGCTACAGCATCCTAGGCGCTTGCAAAGGGAGGGGTGAGTGGTGACTGAGCCTTTTGATGCAATGCAACTAAAACTTACACACTGAACCTTTGACAAATAATTAAATGTGTATTAAAATATGGTGACATACTATAAAATAAATCAAATAAAACAATAGGCTATACTATAGGCCTACACAGTGAAAATTATACATTCCA